TTTGCACAAATAAAAGGAATCACAAGGCATTAAATTAAAATCAGGTGCAAGTATCAAAATCATAAATTTTTCTATCTATTACATGATTGAATAAATTTTTTCTATCTAGAATCATGTTCTTCACGTTAACATCGATCACTTTTTTTCGGATGTTTGCAAAGAACGTGGATTCTGTATTTTCTAAACAGATGAAGGTAAATTATTTAATATTGTTTTCTGACTTGACACGGTTCGGAAACTAGATATGCTAAAAGGACTATCGGGCATGGTGATAGCAACGTTTAGTTCATTTGTTAATTCTCTTTCGTGCTGTGAACGGGGAAAGAAAGCTAGAGTCGAAAAATTGGTCACTTTCTGCTGTTCAAGTCCTTGTGATTGATATCGTAAAATCGTATTCAAGGCTTCTAATTGGTATGTATTCGAGTTTGATTCAGGATAATCGGTTTTCATTGTCTGTCGGAATCTTGAATCATCGTCTGGTGGAGCGTAGTAGAAAGGAAAGAAAACAGCAGCTGTCTTTTTTGTTCCAAAGATCAGGAAGATAATTATACCGCTATATTTATTGTAAGAATAAAATTAAATAAATAAATATAAATATATATACAGTATATATTAGTAAAGCAATTTTCGAGGGATGAGGTTATTTCAACTATTAACAATCGAGTTTCAAAGCTTACATGAAAGAGCTAGAAAAATCCGAGATAGACCATCCAGCAGACGTTGGCATATCACTTTGAAATTTCCTTATCAGCGATGGTAATAAAGATATTAATAGTGCAATAACATATGAACATCCGCAAATCGCCAATCTTAATGATTGTCCAAGTTTTATTGCCGTTCGACGATTTTGTCTATTTGAAAAATGTTTCCACCGGTCCCACAGAATTATTCCAGAGTGAACTAAAGCGGATAAAAGAGAAGCGGATTCATTAATAAAATTTTTACGTCAAAATTTCTAGCGCAATGTGCTCGATCATCTCTCTCATTACTCATTCCCGCAAATTTCACCCTTTGCTCACCTGCAATTATTGTGGAGAGTACGGTTAGAATTATCATTGGTATCAGGTAAATCAACCAAACCCCTTCGGAATCAACTTGCGCACAAAAAAATTTGTTGGTGGTAACGCCTGATTTATGATCATTCGACTCGATGACCCAGGAAATTATGCTTCGTAAAATTGCCAATCCCCAGATGAAGCCGGTAAGCCACCAGAAAGAAATTTGTTCAATTTGAATATTAAACTTTATTGTTGCAAACCATAGGTACACAGATAATACGGCAGGATATATTTGTAATGGATAAAAGAATAATTGAGAGATTTTTGACTGTATTATGCAAAGTAGTGGTGGATTTTCTGAAAGTGTGGTCAAATCATCGCCATATATTACTATCGTTAATAGGTAAGTTAGACCTAAGCAGAAGGCACAAAAGCAAATTTGAAAGAGAGTCCATTTCGTGAAGTAAGGCTTAGACTTTAGAATTGTTATTATAAGGAAAGCCAGTAAGATCAAGCTTATTGATTGAAATATTATATAAGTAATAAGTAGGGGTGAGTGAGAGGGCATAACTTCCACACCTTATTCTATTTTCTAATTGCTCTTTCTATAAATTGTTAAAATTATGGAACGGAGAAGCCACAATTGTGCATTTCCCTTTGGACAATAAAAAAGAAGCAATACATGTAAAAATAAAGGAGTGTGTATGAAAGAGAATAAGCTGTGATGGATGGGGATTTATGTAAATGTATTCAGGAGTGTATCTGTCCGGAAAAGGAAATCTGGAAAGTTTGGATTTGCGTACTTCCACGACAGTTTCTTTTTGCGGTTCCTGTCTATCAAACCCTCTAACCCGTAAGCCCGGTCAAAAAATATAAAAGCTTTATAGACCAGAGAATAATCTTAGGCTCACTGAGATATAACTTTATATTCTTTGCGATGAGAATGTTAACAGAACAAAAAAATATGCTGTACCCCTTGATTTGGACATGTGGAGAGACACAGAGTATAAATATCGGATCGGTTTAAAAAAAAAATAAAAAAATCTACTATTCAAGTAATTGATAAAGCGTCAATCTCGACAATCCGGACATCAGCGGATGCAGTAGTTGTACGGAATTAAGGTTTCGGCACTTACATTATTATCATTTCGACAATTTATTTACCAATAAATCATCTAATCGGCTGGAGATATCTTTAAAAGTTAGTAACATTTATTTTCCGTATAACGAGTAATTTCATGCATGCAAATAAATCCAAGCATAAAAATGATGCTGCCTATTGGCCCAGGAAATAACGGATCGCCCAAGACGTTACAAACAATAAGTATTTAAGCCGACCGGACAGAATGAGATTCCTATTTATCACGTGAAAGTTGTTTTTCCGAGCCATTTTTGGACAAAAAATCTAAAAAAAAACCTGCTTTGTAGCTCAATGTGACAATCTAATCTGCGTGTAATTTGGTTTAACCAATAAAACCGTAATCTTATAGTGATACTTATTATTAACATTAATAAAGAATTTTAATTATTAATTCGATCGACTAATCACTAAATAGCTTACTCAGGTTATCCTATACACGATTGTATTATTTGTTATTTATTTGCCAAAATGGTTTCAAGCCATTTTTTCTATATAAGGAATTAAAAAAAGCAACAGTAACAAATAATAATAATAATAATAATAATAATAATAATAATAATAATAATACTGTAATAATAATACTGTAATAATACTGTAATAATAATTATTATTATTTTTCAAACTATTCGGTTTATATTATTATTATCATTATAATTATTATTTTAAATCACAATTATACCTGTTGTAATCGATTTTTAACAAAAAAAAACTTCAAATATCGATTTTTCCATTAATTTAAAAAATAATATTTGCATCTTCGATAACAAAAAAAAAATTTATTTGGACATATGTAAAAAATATTTATTTATTTTTTAATTTAACATAAATATTAAATAAAATCATTAATTAAGAAATTAATGAATAATATAAATTCGTTTGTTTGTTTTGTTTTAGATTTTTTAGATTTTAGATTTTTTTTTTTGATTTTATCAATTGATAAAAATAATCACAAACAATCGTTTGACATCAACAATCCTAATACTGTATATCTAAACAGTATTATAAAAAAAAAAATCAAATTAAAAACGTGTTTTTTTTTATTGCAAATGGTTGGGGTAATTGATTTTTACATAATTATAAAAAAAAATATAATTTGGTGATAAAATATAATAATACCGTACATTTGTCAAACCGATGATTTATGTTGTAAGATTATTTTTTAATATAAGTGAATCGAAAACGTTTATAATAATAAATATCATTAAAACTTTCAAGCTTTAATTCTTAATGTATAAAAAACCTATGTAAAAGATAAAAAGATAAATAAATTCGCATCGATAATAAAATTACATTGTTTTCAAATTTACTTTAATCAAGTAATATTACTGTATGTCTTTAACATTATATAATAACTTTGTGTTATGTAATTAGTAAAAAATTTACTCTTTATATATTGTCACGGTTATCGGCGAGTCTGTCGCTAATGAAAGCTAAGATTCGCGTAACAATGGTAAGTGTTTTATGTTATGTGTGAGGCGGAATTGATTATGATCGAAAAAGTTTTCTAACTGTCTTTCTTTATTAATGACATGTTTCTTTTTTATACAATTAGTTCCAGCGATTACATAATATTTGACAATAAGAAAATGAAATAAATAAAAAAATAAAAATAAAAATAATGAATCGCAGCAAAACTATTACATAACACATTATCGTTTTTGTCGTTATATTACATAATTCATTTACATTGACAAGCAAAGACGGATCACGTGACTTAGTCCGATCTTTCTTTGATTATGTTATATTTCTATCACATTCTTTCACACTTTCATATGCGCTGGTTATTGTTTTGACGTGGCTTGTCCCAGTTATAGCGCGTGACATTTCTTGGCGATCGGCGTAAGTGCAATTCGCGTCGCCATTTCCCGTGTTACAATATCTATATTTATTTATACAAATTCTAAAAAACATAAGTTGAGTTTGTGACATGATGGTGTGTTTTTGAATTTAAAAAAGTATGTTTCTATAACTTATACTTATAATCCATACTAAAAACAAAACATTTATATACTAACCTTATATTATAGCGAAACGAGAGCTTATGCATAAGAAACATACTTTAAGAGGCATATATACGTTTTTTAATTCTCGTCATCTACCAGAAAAATTGATCAAATAATTTGGAGAAAAAGAATAAATTTAATAATGATATAGATATTAATATATTCACAAGTCATACAGTAAATGTTATAAACAAAATCAATATACCTGAATCAATTGAGTCGAATAAATTTTCCATTATATTCATACTCGGATTTTTTGACGTCGATAAATTATGAGGATGCTTAGTACAGCATCTCTCCTGTCCTCTAAACATGGTACCCGTGATTACTGTGGCTGAGTTAAGTTGTTCATAAATTTATTTTACATTTGGTCGTTGATCCGGATTCTTAATCGAACACTGTTGATATATCTCTATATATTTGCAAGTAATACATCCTTTATAATATTACTATGGCTTTAAACCCTTAAATGGTGGTGTCCCGCTTGAAACTTCCCACAACACCATTCCCAAGCTATAAACATCGGATTTTACAGTGAAGTCTAGATAACTTTCATTATCCAAGATTATTGGATCTATGAATGCTGGTGCACCTTTAACCTCCAAAGTCTCTGAAATTTCTTTTACTTTTATCGACATTCCAAAATCGATTATCTTTATCTTCAGTCTCCCATCGGATATGGATAAAACGATATTTCTAGTATGCTGTATTAATGTTCGAAAAATAATTTTGTTGAGATAATGAAATTCTGATATAATTAAATACCAGATCCCTATGCAAAATGTAATTATCATGTAAATAGTTTAAACCACATGCAACCTGTTTTCCAATATTGATCCGTTACTTCCAGACAAGTCGAGGATTATTAGAGAGATATTCACGTAAGCTACCTAACTCCGCATATTCTAAGATAAACATTTAAGACCCATCCGGTGCTAAAGAATAAATAACGATTAATCACAGTATTTCTTGTGACAGCTTATTTAAACGTAAAAACCTACAACGCTAATTGTGTATAATAAACATCAGTTAATATCCACTTCGATGATCTAATTAATTATGTAAACATTTTATTTTAATCGTACCTTAGCCCATAAAATTTTATAATATTCTCGTGAATTTTTATTAAAGAAAAGATTTTGAGCTAAAAATCCATGCATTAGTTAACCACGTGATTTAAATAAAAAAGCGCATGACACGTTATAGCACTGTACCTCTCTAACAACTTCTATTACATCTGATTCATCAACAACTTTAAAACGATAGGAATTTTATTACCGTCATTTTCTATTGTTGTTTTCTGAACTC